ATATGTTTTGTACAATGAATGATTGTCCAATTTCTAATAATGTATTCGTGACATCATTAGCATCATGTGATATCTGTTAGCTGTTACTCGGTATCAAAGGTTCTATTATGGAACTTAATATGTCTATACTCTGTTACCCATACCGGAGGCTCCATCATGGGGCTCAGCATGTTTATTCTCTGTTACCCGGATCCGGAGGTTCTTTTATAGAACTGGTTATTCATAACTGCCATATGTTCTGCATCTGTTCTGTATCTGTTTTGTTAGCGCTAATGGATGTACCATGTATGATTAAGCATGAATTACGATTTCTGTATATCATCTGAACAAGAATACGAATATGAATCTGAATTATGATTTTTGAATCTATATGGACTTCATTCATCAAAACTCTTTACTCCATTATTATTCACTGGGCTTCCGCTCACTATTCATATTATGTATGTAGGTGAGCAAGCACGTGACCAGGCCCAGAGTTGACGACCTATGTTTCAGTTTTTGTCAGCCAACCTTTGCGCCTCCCAAAGAGGTTCCTGATGAAGTCAAGTTTTGTGACTGTTTTTGTAATCATATTAGACTATGTTTGTTTGTTAAGTTATGGGCGAGATTTTTGACATATACGCCTAAGTGTGGTATGTAAATATTATATCCTTTGGTTATCACTCGTATGTTTATAAAGATTTTTGATTATTTTGTTCCATGTATGTCATCACAGCTCATTGGACCTCGTATGTTTTGTATATTTGCTTTTACAATCCCTAACTATATGTTAATTTGTTAAGAGGCCTTTGGTAATCCAAAGATTATTGGCCGGTTACGATGCTAAATCCATAGTGGCAGGTTTGGGTCGTGACAGTATAATTGGCTCAAAGTTTTTTGTTATCGGAGTTGGGTATTAGGTGGTCTTTTGGACATAGTACTAGCCTCGATAGTGTTAAGGATTTATCCAATACTGTCTATCTAATCCAACCAAACTTGATTTATAGGCCATGTTTGTTTGTCAAATTGGGTTGGGTATGATTACGAATAATAAGATTGAGTGATGAGATTACTAGTATGGTAATATTATGCTAGAGATATAAGATAAATAAAAGAGGTTTATGCACTGAGACAATTTCTAACGTTTACTCTTTTTTTTTTCCATCAAATTTAAATTTGATGAAATAAGTCCAGGTTTGTTACACCAACCATGACATCAAACCCATATCAAATTGAGGATGTCTTCAGTTTTTCATGAAATTGAGAATGCCTTCAGTTTTTCATCAAATTGATGATGCCTTTCGTCATGTTCCTTACAAAATTGTCCTTCAGGTTCTAGTTAATTTACACAAACTGATCGATCAATCGGATATTCGCCCAATCTTCCTCCTGCTCAACTGGTGGTTTGATGAAAAATATAACTTTTTCGTTAGAACACTCGGTGTCAGATGAAATTTTGAACTAATGTTTTACTCAAATTTAATGGAAAAAAGAGTAAACGTTAGAAATGCTCTAATGTGATGGTAATAATTAATGGGTGATTTGGTGATAGCCCATTCACTGTCTAATTTGTCTTTCAAAAGGATAAGAATTATATAAGTACTTTCAAAACCCCCTAATATTTTAAAACTTATTTCTTTTACTATATTACCCTCATATCTATCAGCTCTCCTATTAAGCCATCTTCACTATGTATTTCAGAGTAAAATTTTACTCTGTATAAAAGTAAAATTTTAGAATAAGAGTAAAATGTTACATTCTGAAACTAAAAGTAAAATTTTACTCTGTATAAAAGTAAAATTTTACTCTGAAAAACGAGTAAACTGGGAGACTCTGAAGCTAAAAGTAAAATTTTACTCTGTATAAAAGTAAAATTTTACTCTGAAAAACTAGTAGAATGTTAGACTCTACACAAAAGTAAAATTTTATTCTGTATAAAAGTAAAATTTTACTTTGAAAAATCAGTAAACTGTGAGACTCTGAAGCTAAAAGTAAAATGTTACTCTGTACAAAAATAAAAAAGCGAAGGCAGTGTTTGTGGCGGCTGAAGTGTTTGGCAATGACCACCTCTTGACAGTAAAATTTTACTGTCATTCTAACACCAGAGTAAAATTTTACTCTAATTCTCTCAAACAAAGAACAGAGCAATAGAACCAAAGTAAAATTTTACTCATTATTTGAAACAAAAAACAGAGCAATAGAACCAGAGTAATTTTACTCTGGTTTTATCAAATGAAATTAGATCAAAAATAACAAAAATAAATAAAAAAACAAACAAACAAACAAACAAACAAAAACAAAGGAAATTAATCAACAAATCAGCATATTTAATTGAGAAGAAAAACTTCTAAAACTCAATCAACAATTATAAATCTCAATGAAAAGAATACATGTGTTCAACAACACTCATACACACAAATATATGTATATATATATATATATATAAAACATTACAACACTCATACACACAAATATTTATAGATCGATTCCGTTTGTGTGCTGAGAAAATAGAGGAAAATATTATATAACATTACAACGAAAACTTATGGATCACCTCTTTTACGTTTTTTACGAATTTCATTTGTATCAAGTAGCGAAGCCAAAAGAGATCTAGGAAGTTATCTCGTCAAATGAAAAAGAAAACGCGATACTTCTTGTGATCTGTTGCCTCACAATTCCTTGGAAGATGAGGATTAGGTCCTTCAATGTCGAACTATTTCTGGTAATCGAAACTGTTATATTCTTTGTCTGATTGATTCTCATGATCTGTTAGTGTTATTGTTTCAATGAATTTGATCTGCTGAAGCTTGGAAGACACGACTATGGTGCCGCCGACCTTCTGCTGAAGCTTCGAAGACACGACTATGTTGATTATGATACAGTTGATGACGAAACTGATTATATATGCAGAAGCTGAGGGTATAATAGTCATATAAAATATTTAAATAATAAATTTTGTCCTTTATGCAAGACTTTAAAATTATAAGGGGGTTTAGAAAGTATAATTTTTTTCTTAGTCCTTTTAACAATGAAAGGAAGGCAAAGGGGGTTTATAGCTAAATTTTCCATAATTAATTGGGATTAAATCTACAAAATTAAATTAAAACTCATATCACATACAATGCAACTTTGATGTTTTTGTGCAGTGGGGTAAAATTAAAACATACTAACTTCGAAACTTCTATTCCAAATTACTTAAAGAAAACTTTCTTGGTTCATGTTCAATTTTATAAATCATGAATTATTTACATGGTTTTGGTCTTCTATGTGCTTTCATCAACCTCAATAACTACTAAATTAAGTACTAATATGTTATTATCTATGAAGAATCCAACCAAATTGGAGAAATTGGTCAAATCAACACTACAGTCAAAATACTATAAAAAAAAATATATAACATATATATTAGAGTAAATTACACTGACCTCTCAAGATTTGAAAATATATATAATAAAGTATACAGTTTTAACATAATTACATCAATCTTCCTTTTAGTAAGATTAAATAGATTGAAACTAACCTAGATGGTGTGAAAACACAAAAACAAATAACGTAAAGTATATATTTTCATGTAAAAGAGACAATAATATTATTTTTTTTATCCATATAACTAACAAATTATTGAGAAACTCAAAATAATTATGTCAAAACTGTAAGACTTACTATATTTTTTTTAAACGTAAAGAGAAGTCAATGTAAATTACCCTGTATATTATTGCCACTAACTTATGGGTTTGAATACACTGCAATCTTGAAAACAATTCAGTTACTTTGAAACCAAAATCATGGAATTTTACAATTTCTATATACTATGAAAAAGCTTCTCTCCATGTTATATTGATCAACCACCATTAAAGCCACCCCATTGACTGCCTTATATCGCTCTTCACAACTACGACATTGCTTGAAATATTGGTCAATCTATGTGCTGGAAAATCTACAAGCCCTGGAGAGAAACAAAATGAGTATTGGGCATGATTTATCTGGTTCGAAAGCACCAACACTGACGAAAAAACTCCAACACTGACAAAATCCACATTGAAACTAATCTAGATGGTGTGAAAACACAAAAACAAATAACGTAAAGTATATATTTTCGTGTAAAAGAGACAATAATATTTTTTTTTTTATCCATATAACTAACAAATTATTGAAAAACTCAGAATAATTATGTCAAAACTGTAAGACTTACTATATTTTTTTTAAACGTAAAGAGAAGTCAATGTAAATTACCCTGTATATTATTGCCACTAACTTATGGGTTTGAATACACTGCAATCTTGAAAACAATTCAGTTACTTTGAAACCAAAATCATGGAATTTTACAATTTCTATATACTATGAAAAAGCTTCTCTCCATGTTATATTGATCAACCACCATTAAAGCCACCCCATTGACTGCCTTATATCGCTCTTCACAACTACCACATTGCTTGAAATATTGGTCAATCTATGTGCTGGAAAATCTACAAGCCCTGGAGAGAAACAAAATGAGTATTGGGCATGATTTATCTGGTTCGAAAGCACCAACACTGACGAAAAAACTCCAACACTGACAAAATCCACAACCCACCTTGTCCCATTCCTCACCACCGCCAGTTTCCCTATGGCTGATTTCAAGCTCATCCCAGCTGATTATCAGGAAGTTGACGAAGGGATGTTTTTGACATGAAAAATGTTTGAGGACCCAAAATCGTTTGGCTTGAAACTCAAAACGACGTCGTTTTGGGTTCTCTTACCGGTAAGATATATTACAATTCTCTTACCGATAAGATAATCCAAAACGACATCGTTTTGGATTCGGGGCAAATTCGAGCTTGAAAATTTCGGACCCTGTAGCAGTGTTGTTTTGACATTTGTTTTTGCATTATCCAACTTTTAACTTATAATAAACCATACCAAACAACACTAGAGAAGCTAAATTATTGTAACATTTTCCTTTCCCTCCACAAATATTAGATGAGTAACCCGTGTGGAAGACACTTTCAAAGTAGCATCAGAACAATTAAAATGGTCTTACGATGACATCTTTGAATATTGTATTAATCATCAATTGACCTATACTCTATTATGAAGGCGGCAAAGTTAAAAAGTAACATTCTTATAAATGAATGATTGCAACAAAATGGGTATTACATAACCATTCTACCAACAAATGGAGAACAATATCACAAAAATATTTAACCACAAAATGTTGCTGTTGCAACTGAGGCACTGCGATACTCTCTTTTGGTCTTGTCTATACATTGTGGTCGTTGGATTTTAGTAATTTCTCTTCCTCATTCGACAAATCGCTCATGGAGAGCTGAACGTTTGATTTGGTGTTCATTTTATTCCACTCATTTTCTACACGAAAGAAAACCCACTGAAAGCGACGGAACATCTCCAAGGCAGTGATGGCAAATACAGTAAGGTAATTATGGCGGAGATGGGCAGAGAGCTTGTATGTCCATGTGCATCGCAGCACCAAATTGCTTGCTATTACCCAAAAATAAACCTGCACAACCAAGCCAAGCGTAGAGAAAGGTTTATTACCTTCGTGGATAGTCTCCATATGCAAAACATATTTCAGTAAATCCTTACCCATTTCCGTCCATGTAACAAGTGCGAGCAGATATGTGGTTTGCTGAACTTGAAAATCCTAGTGAAGACACTGGCATAAGAGGAGAAAAATTAGGCATAAGTGTGATGTTCGATGAGTGAGAAATCTGTGCCAGAGCTTAAAATAGAACATACACATTTTAGAGCTGATGCCATGCAAGCATCAGATATTCAGAAGAATATGAATAAATAAATGTCTTTATTGACATTTTTCAGCAACTCTAAAATAACCCAATAACTCTAAACTAATCAATTATGATGACTAATTTTAAACTCTTTTTTCTTTTACTTTATTTCTTTTTTCCCTTTTTTTTTTCTTCCCCATTATCATTATGATCACATTTAATGATATCAGAATGCACTACTAATTTATCTGTTTTGAAACACTACAAAAAAAAAAGACGAGTTAATTAGCGCCAATACATGAACCAACGGAAAAGCAGATGTAACCAGGTTTCATCTCAATAGTGTCTGGCAGAGGTGCCTCCAGAAATAGTGGAATGCATTAAGGTGACGACTTTGTCATTTATTTGGCATTAATAAGTGGGTAAAAGGACATTCCAACATACCTCAAGTCCCAATCTCGGGTCACATCCCAGTAGAAAGAGTACAGAGAGTTCAAAACACTCGAAAGAAGCCACAAAGGCCGATAAAAGTTCATCCACCTATCATGCTCGGTGTGATATTTAAGGGCCGAAACAAAAATCACCGGTATCGCGGTTGAATATTTTAAAGCTGAAACCATAAGGAAATAAAGTTACTATAGTACAGAGAAAAGGCAACAGAGCATACTAACAAAAGGTAATAAGGACAGTAAGAAAACATGTTGATTGATAAAATAAACAAGCAAAATAAAAGGAAATAACGGCAGCAAAAAAATTGGCATAACGAGCAGACGACCAGTCAGATTGCCACCTAGGATACAATTTTAGAGCGCTATTTTAGCACAGAATATACTGCACTGCTGGAGTGTTTTAGTTGTGCCATGCTATTTTAGCACTGCTACATCTAAATACTACACTAGAGTTGTGCTTATACTGTTCAGCAAAACTAAAGTGGAAACTAATGAACAATATTGCCAAACAAGCCTGTAATCAATTGACAATGGCCTCTCAAAGGTTAGCAGCTTTTTGGGTATTATGAAGCATTGAAACTCAATCTTCTGCACGTAAACCACATGATACCTCCATATGTTTCAAACACAATGGCAACTCCAACAAGAAGGGGTCAAAGCCAATAATACTATTATACTATCATTAATTGGCATAACAAATACAAATGAACTCCCACATCACAGTCATCTAGTCATCTATGAGATTTATCATACCAACTCCTTCATCGTTAGATTAATATAAAACCAGTGAATGACAACTTGAGTGCAAGTTATACCAGGTAAAAGCCACAATAATACCATCCAATTCTCAATCACCATTTTGAACATGTTGGCATGTTAGCTTTGCATAAAGTTTTCAAACAACAATTCCTGCTTCTCTAGGAGGGGTTTTGTTGGGGTTGTTCAATACTCACAGATATGAGAGTAAATGAAGTTGCAAGGATCTTGCATTAGGTTTTAACACAACATGTTATATTTTCTATGGTTTACTATATGTAGTTGCCATGTTAAACACGCTGTATCCATGGCTGACACAAAAACCTTTTAGTATTATGTCTTAAACTAGTAGACACAAGTTGTAACAAATTAGAAAATGTATTTCGGTTTGTTGGGGGTGGGAAAAGAACATAAACCACTGACAAAACAGCCAAGAAACCTATTTTCTATCAAGCACAAATACGAACACAACTCAGAATCCAGGGAAACTAAGAGGAGGAGAAGCAATTGCAAAAGAAAACGAGCAATCATATCCAAAACATGTAAAACCCATCTTCAACACATGTCCAAGATCATAAAACAAGTTTGAAAAACCAAACATTTAGAGGCATGTGATGTAGCCTGGTACATAATCTGAAAACTATTACTCTTAATAACCTTTACTATACATGAAAAAGGGATGGATGATCAGATCAAGGATGGAATTTGCAAAATCTGAATACAAAGCACATTCCACTCAATATTTACATGTTGAGTGGTTCAATCAGGTTTTGCAAAAATCAGTCGGCGAAAACAATGTTACAGAAGTTCGCCACAAAATAAAAAGAAAAAAAATCAAAGTGGAAAAAAAAGAAAAAAAAAAGAAGCAGCAACTAGAGAAACAAAAGTAGAAGTGATGAATAGATCTTACCATTCAAAAGGGTGGTTTTCTCCCCAGTATCCTTGTATTGTCGAAGACACTGGAAAAAACGGAAGAGATAAGGCAAAACAAGAACTGCAGGGATTGCAACAGAGTGGTGGCCACAAACAGAATCAGCTTCCAACCAGGCAACAGTGGCAACCTGCACATGTTTAACAACAATCTCTTAATGACAGAAAGCAGCACATTGGGTCAATCCATTTGTACACGTTAGCATTTTGTAATATCGGCAATTTTGAGAAAAAATATGCCTAGATTCATTAGCATTAACGAAGACCAATGATGCAGAGGCACGAGCTACCATAGATAGTTCTATCATTGCCTCTGCCAAAATATCCATTACTAATTTCCATACCCTGTAACCATTAAAAGACCAAGTGTAAATCCAATTTAAAAATTTTCGAAGTGAGAAGAAGATAGACTCCAAGATAATTCACCACCATTAGAGGAGCACAATGGCTGAGTCACCTCACGGGTTCCAAAATGGATCCTACAAATATTCTACTTTTGGTACCTCAAAAGACACCAAAAGACCAAGACTCTAGAGCACCAAGTTTCTGTACTTCTCATTGTATTACCAGTCCCTAACCACATAGCATAGACACAAGTGTGTTCAAACTTCAAATTCCCTGAGATCCCATAGTCTCCAGACTCTAGAGGACCAAGGTTCTGTCCTTCTCATGGTATTACCACACCCTAACTACTTGGCAAAGACAAAAGTGTGTCCAAACTTCAAATTCCCTGAGATCCCATAGTCTCCAGATCGCAAGACTGCATCCACTGTCTGGAATATACAGGTTGAGGAATCCACCAGACTGCATATTTTCATGGGTGTGAGGAAATATGGCCAATCAAAGAACTCTCAACTCCAAAACATCTGAAATCGATGCAACCACTAGAAAGCTACTACGGTTCATAACTTTTTGAGATGGGGAGATAAATTAAACTAGAACACAAATGCAGAAACAAACAATCATCAGTTGGATGTGGCTAGCACAAAAGGAGAACTTGACACAATCCAAATGTTAATCCCAATTAGAGTAAATCACAAATTTTTAACAAGGCCTAGGATCAACAAAGATATACCAACCTGTCGATGGACCATTCTACAGACTGAACGCTCCAAATCTGAAAATACCTGCATTTAAACTGAAAGTTACAAGCATGCCAAGGAAATGTGTGGAAAATAATAATTTGCCTTTTGAAATGAATACTAAAATCACACAGCATCATTTTATTACTATTTCCCAGACCTTAATTGTGGAGACTTGGACTTCTACAAGGGGAAGTGCGGGCAACTCTGTGGGGTATCGAGAAAGGTGAAGGAATAGACCATTGAGGTCCATCCAGATGGAAAATGGCAAATTGGACAAAATAAGATAGTGGAAAATCCAAAACCATGCAAGCCTTTGATGGCATCACCAAAGAGTTTGGATCTATTGTAAGCCACAGAAAGCATAACAATCAGAGATATTTACGATCTTTCAATAGTCCCAGAAGGTGCTGTGTACCAGACTCTGATATCAGATATGTTTTAGAGTCTCATTCCTAGCAAAACAGTACAAAACCATAATGATTTAACTGCATGAGCCATGAACCGATCAAGATTTTCAGTCTTAAGACCTCGGCTCTTAGGAGAGGAACACTGGCTTCATCAATCAGTTCCTCTGGTTCTTAGGTACTGGAATAATCTCATTCACCATGTGAATGTGACAAAATGTTCATACAACATTGCCATCCATTTCCATAATTCTAAAAATTGTGAGGATGATGTCACTATAAACAACTAGTAGAGACTTAGATTGCAATGACACAGACCACGGAATGCATACCTTTGCCATAGAGGTTAAAATATCAGCCACGAAAAAATCAGCAAATGATATTGCCTGTAACCAACAAAGTAACATCAAGCTCAGATAAAAAGTGATAATAGCCAAACTATTTCCAAAGTTCAAATAACTGATAACAAACAAGAACTTTATTTCACCAAGGCCACAATAGGATCCTTAACATGACATGAAAGCTTTTTTGGATTAACAACTGCCAGACTCTTTTAGCCTAGTCAATATAAGACAACCTAATTGCAAAACATGCTAATAGAAGTTTATAATCAAGTCTCACAAGGGTGTTGCCAATCGTAGTTGACAAATGACACCTTGTTTGCAAGTTTGTGTGTGCAAGCATGTACATGCTATCAGGAGTGACAGCGTTTTGGTCCAACAGCGACAGACTACACAATGTGGAGAAGCCCTCCCCCTGCCCATAACACCAGCAACCTAACCATTATGACGCAGGATCTGATTCTAGGTCTTTGATACCACTTCCAAGAGACTTTACCAGCTAAACTAGCTAGCACCTTCAACTGTGGGCGCATGTTATCTACCAGGTCAATAAGTAGTTTAAGAAATAATCATCAGGAATGAATCGAAAAGAAATACCACCGGAATAAAATATCCAAGCTAATGCGATGACAAAGTATCAACTTTAAAGTAATTTAAGAATCAAAGCATATTGATCACATTAATCGACTGGTGAATTTTACAGCCCAAACATCAATTTCTTTCAATTTTCCAAGATACACAATAAACATCATCAGAACATAATAAAATTAATTTGAGAATCATCAAGCACAGTGCCTTTAAAAGAACTGAAAACTATAAACCAACCTGTAATGGGAACACTATCCGCCAGAGAGTCCTCAATAAGAAGTACCGAGATGACAAATAAAAAATATCAAATGGAAATATTAGAAGCATTGTAACAGCAGCATACAGGAGCACCTACAGTAGATGAAAAGTAACACTTAGAACAAATCTCATATACTAGTGAGATATCACAAAGAATGGGTCACACTTCTCAACAGGCAAGTCTGCTGATCATTACCAATATGTAAAAGATAGTCTTACGGGATGCAAAAAAACACAAACACTATTCAACCTAATAATATTAGGGAATAGAATATAATGCTAATATATTATTTCATCACTCATTGCGTGCAATCGTATGTGCTAATATACAAAAGGAAACCACCTTGCCACTTCATAAGTGTCTCCTCTCCTCCCCCCCATTGTTGGCTGGATTCCACTTTGTCAGTGTCAGTTCCAATGTAAAACCACTCTTGCCAATGGACCCAAATAACTTTTTTTCTTGGAATATCAACATAACAATTTATTAATAAAAGAAAAAGGAGGACAAGAAGTCCATCCAAAAGAGAAAAATAATTTAAATGTCACATATAGTACACCTGCAATGACCCCACCTAGCACAACACTGTCCACCTTGCCTGCCACGCGCAACATACACGGTGGTTCTAAATAATGGTATTGCGAAAAGTATTAGTATTGTATTGGCAATACGATATTGGCTGATATATCAGTGAATAATGGGATCTGAGGTCCAAAATACTAAGACGACACGTAACGGCTAATATTTAAAACCATGCACCCATACAATACGTCCAAGTGGTCAGCTCACAGTTTTGTTCTTCCCAAATTTCTTTAGGAAAAGGCCTTGTACTATGAAGGTTCAAGATCCCACATATATAGCACTTCACAAACCCTTCTCCAAATGATGTGGGATGGGTCCTCACAACACCAATCTCTAGAAATAAGATAAAAAAGAAATCCCCCCAAAGAAGCCAAATAGACAATTTTGTCCAATATCCCTCCAAAATCTGCACACTTATCCTCAAAAGCCCTTGTGTTCCTTTCTAACCAAAGAACCCAAAGCAAAACACAATATATACATCTCCAAAGAACACAAATCTTTTTATTAGACCCAAAGCCCCTATAGTCAATTAAGAACATTGGAAGACATGATCTAAGAGCCACCCAGTCCATCTCCACTAGCTAAAACAACTTATTCCATAATGGCATAGGACAATGCAAGAATAAATGATCAATAGATTTATCACCTCCTACAATAGTTGGATAATTAATAATACTGGCTAAAATTTGCCAATAAAATAATGATTTGTGCCATGTTTAATGTCATATATTTCATACCTAAAGAAAATTCAGAACAAGATGATATAGAACTGTTGAAAATGGTAGACATTATAATATCCTCACTATTATTTATAAAAGGCCAATTGCACAGAATTAGTCCAACCAATGCAGGCTGCTGGGTGCAGTCATCAAATTTTAGACCTAGACTTCGGGGCATAATTTACACGAAGGGCTTGCTTAGCCCAAGCTTTTGTCAACAAAAAATTATCATGGTGCAAACTCATCATCATGCTAAATTAATTCAATTTCCAGTGGGATTCATACCCATTATTACTAAAAACAACACCTAACCAACAGTAACTTTTACTGAAATATAAAAATATAATGGGTTTTGAAATTGTTCAGAAACACCAAAAACCAATAAAATTTCCATTGACACACACTTTATAGGTAAAAACCAATAAAGTTCATCTTTTTTCTTTCTTCTTCTTCTTCTTCTTCTTCTTCTTTTTTTTTTTTTTTTTTTTTTTTTTTTGTTTGGAGGAGATACGGGTGGGCATGATTCAAACACTGCTATCTTCCCAAGTACCGGTAAGAATACCAAAATTGATGCTGGGAACTCCTAGGATGATTTAATCCATCTAGTTGACCAAAACAACAACAGTACACATTCACAGCCTTTCCAAATGTACAATGCAACCAAATTTCTCACTGAGGTTCCTACTTCTATACACTGAGATATTCACCATGTTCACAAACAAACATAACATTATAAGAAGCAAGATAAATCACCATGGATTATATAGGCGAGGAACAAGAGTAGCAAAAAGAAAGTTGGTCGATTGATGAACATGGATGTCATGTTGATTAGGTAATTGAGCTTTAGCATGATTTTTGTCTGTTGTGCTGACCAAAGCATGTAAGCAAATCTGGTTACTATTAGAAATAAAACTTGAACAATCTCATAATGCAAATAAAAAAAATGTACTGCAATTAATGGGAAGTTACAGTTAAAGAAAACACATAACAAGGTTTAAATATTGAGTTTTAATGAGCATAAGCATTCACAGCAATTAATGAGAAGAGGAGGCATCTATTACACTGGTTGGAATGCAGCCAATGAAACTTCTCCGTGAGAATAAAGATACAGATATGCTGTCATGCTAGTTGGGACAACGATTGTCATCCAGGTGGCACACTGCAATATTAAATGTAATCTATGAAGAAGCCTGGCAGCATATACATATCACAGAAAGAACTTTTAAGCAATATATATACATAATATGCACTTTCTAGAAACAAAATATTATAATTTTCCTGAAATTGACCTTGTCTGTTGATGGGGAAAAAGAAAAAACAATATATACATAGATATAATGTTTCTTCCTTTTTACCCCCATAAGAAAAAAAAAATGTATTTCACAATGAAAAGAAAAGAACCAAAAGCCATTAAAGGAGTTAAAGGTTCAGCACAGAAAGGAGGTCACAAATTTGAATCCTTGATAAAACTATCATATATGACCAACCCTGCAAAGCAAAAGTCCAGAGAGAAGGTTAAAAACAAAAAGAAGAAAGGAAAAAAGGACTAGCATCCGTTGTTTCAAAAACAGTATCTTGCTAATTAGAAGAAAAGTCCAACTACTTTACTTGTCAACAGTTTGTCAGACTTAATATGCAGTGACACAACACTACTATGAAAAAAAGGGATAATCAAAATACATGGAGAGCCAATATGATAGCAAACCTTGATGCAAATTAGAAGGAAGATGAGTCTAGATGTTGGAAACTACAGTTCAAGACAATTTCCAGAGATGAAATAGGAAGTTTTTAAGGAGAAAATCAGGCAGAAAGTCCGAGGTTTAACAAAATTCCAGGCACAATATTTTTACAATCTGAACTAAGTGGCAAGAGATGGAAAAAAAAAAAAAGTTCAAAATAGCGGAGAACTACCAAAATTGACCTCACAATTGGTTTAACAGCTAAATTGACAGAAAGCCACAAAAAAAAGGATATATATATACATCTATCAGAGAGAGAGAGAGTAGAACTTCATATAATACAAGTATTGCACGACTGGCAAGTCAATCCACTAGCTGTAAATATAAGTACCTTCCATATTTCTCTGTGAGTAAGATGATTTTGATCAAGGTCAAAAATTTTAGGATAATTGACATTGGATAGGGAAAAGACCCATAAATTTACTCCCCAAAACCAAACCATCATAGTCTGCATCACCATAGCAAAAAGAAAATGTGTTGATACAAGGAAAGAAAAAATAAATCAAAAACCTATTCAACAAGAAAATAAAAAAAATTAGATAAAATCCACTAACCACAAGAAGAAGAGGATTATAATACAAAAATGCCTCATATAGAAATAAATCCCGCAAGTCCACACTCATTCTCATTACAGAATCCCATCCAATCTGAAACTTATGAATAACGGGTCAGACATGAAATAAAAATAATAATAAAGGAAGCAAAACCAAAAACCAAAATCCTCATAAATTGTAAAACTGAAGTCGTGATAGGAAATGAAAAAAAAATAAAAAATGTAACTGACCTTGCAACAGCAGAAACCCCAGATGATAAACAACAGTACCTGCATATAATTATAAGTCAAAATATCACATAGCATGCAAAGCTCCAAATAAGAACAACTTCAATGTGGTGCAAGCTCGGATATAAAACAAACACAAGAGATGATCAAAGCAAAAGAAAAGTCAATATATCTGAATATATGGAATGTAAAATTAGTAGAACCAAGGAAAATTAGTAGAACTAAAGTTGAATATGTGGAATGTGACTTTAGTACGGCCGAGACAATACCTCTAGTTACAACAAATCGAGTTTCAAAAGCCCATTTAACAATCAAATTTCCAGGCGCACCAGTCAAAGTGCCATCGGATCTAAAGGAAGTAGATATCATATAATAGAGAAGTGAAGATTGAAAACTATGAGCTAACAAAGAGAGAACATTTTCACTACCTGAGTTCAATTATTGATAAGAATGGAGAGGTAGGAAATTATGTGATCCATAGAATCAAAGCAAAATTTTATAGAATAGTTATATGGCCAATGATGTTTTATGAGACAAAATGTTAGGCAACAAATAAACACATTCATAAAATGGGTGTAGATAAGGATGCATAGATGAATGTGTGGTAAAACTAGAAAAGATAGAATTTGAAATGATTATATGTTAATGAAATGTTAAGAGTAGCAACAATTAAAGATAAGTTAAATAGAGACTAAACTAAAATGGTTTGGTCATATACAATGAAGATTTGTAGATGCAAGTGTACTGGTAAGGAAGAGTGATATGATCACCATAAATGAAAATGTTAGGGGAAAGAAAAACTTAAACTGACATGGGATAGTCCTCTACCCACCACCACATATTGTTTTTGTCTATCACATTCCATCCCTATATCTATTATAAGCAAATCCAAGAAAACTAATTGATGCCACTATCAAGACACTTGAGGCGTGAACTATAAAAGCATTAGAGCAAAAACATGAAAACATGAAAACATGCAAGATTAAGACCTACAACTTAAACGGGCTACTTATGGACTTTTATTTTTTGATTTCGTGCCAAATGGTTTTTGTAGTTTCTATTTAAAGCTTAAACAATAAAATAGCTTAAATCAGCATTAAAATAAAAAAGATTAATTGCCCTAAAGCAAGAGGAGGATACTTCTATATTTTTCTTATAGATTATCCACTTTCAGCTTAGAACTACTTTAGGTAGGTAAGTTCAACAGAATTAAATGTCACGCGCGAAGAAAAAAATAAAAATAAAAATATAGTAAAAGAAAAGTATATGGAACCTTAAATCTCCATAGCAAAATAGGAGACGGCAATATCGTGGCGGCGGTGCCCAAAGGAGTGCTCACACCCTTCATTTCATTGGCGTCTAATAAATGCGAGAACCCTTCGTCAGCACTATTTCCCAGCTCACTTGTACCTAACAGATATTCCACAACAATTAGGTGCTTAAGCTTATAAAAGCATATAAACACATACATATATACCCACCAAGGTAAAAAAAAAAACGTTAAAACAATTAATTCAAATAATTTCAAAAAACTAGACTTTTGGTACCAATATCAAATGTACCACAACAATTAGGTGCTTATATCAAATTGGGTTTTACATATTTTTTACCCAAATCAAGGAGGCTCAAATGCTTGCCCAAATCTTTCAAGACCATTTTGTAAACTACAAAACTTACAACTTTGCCATTACTTTGCACAAACAAATATATACCCACCAAAAAAAAAAAAAAATGGTAACCCACAAAAAATGGATATAAAAAATGCAAAAAAAAGTAGAATTGTTGGTACCAAGATCAGAGACAACAGGTCTGCTTCCAGACTTGCGAAGATGAGGACTGTTGACAGGGACTGTCACAAGACCTCCTCCAAACATAGAAGAATGTATGTACGTATGCTTAGAACCTGCAAGCAATTGAAGTCAAAAGTGAGAAATTTGAATTCAAAAAACACAGTAACTGTTAACGAATCGAGTGGATTAGGAAAAGAGATCAGAAACTTAACAGATCAATTTGGATCGAATTGAATTGCGATTTGGTGAGAAGAATGGTGTTTAGATTCCGTCAATACGAACCTCCCTCTTCGTTACGTTTGCCGGATCTCTCACCGGATCTCGTGCAATTTAGAGAGAGAGAGAGAGAGAGAGAGAGAGAGTATTACGGGAGGAGACGTGAATGTTACTGGACCGATGTAGAAAAGGAAATGATGTACCATCCGATGCGACCATGTGGGCCGACTCTCTAATCCGACTTATGTGGAGTACATACATGGCACCACGTCAATCTATTTTTGAAGAATTACAACATTTGGGACAGAAAAAAAAGATAGAGTAATGATTCATCCCCTTTTCCCCCACCCCTTTGAACCCCTCTCTCTCTCATTGGTTAACTTTTCTTTTTTTTTTTTTCTTTTTTTTTTCTGCTCCTCCAATCACCACCTGCCACGTGGCAAAGGGGTGAGGGGGTGACCCCCAAAAGGGGGTCCCAAGCATTATTCAAAAAGATAATGTTAAGAACATTAAATTTTTTATTAAAAAAAAATTCAAAAAAATATAAAGTACAAATAAACGGTTCTGCTGGGTAGCTCGAAACTTGGCTACTCCAAATGGCTCAAATATGAAAAACGACGTTGTTTTCATTTTTTTTCATCTTCCGTCATTCCTCTCTTTTCTTTCAACATTTGAGAACTCACTCTAACAAACAGAACCAGAACCTTCTTCATCATCTTCCTCTATTTCTCTTTCTAAAAATTACCAAACTCACCACAAAATTGAAACAAGATGATGAATAGATCTGATTTAGGGAAAAAAAAATTATGTTGAACAAATTTATGTTAAACAGATCTGATCTGTTTATGTGAGATGAAGTTAAAATAAAAATTATGAATTAAAATTATGAAACAGATCTAATCTGTTTATGTGATCTGATCTAACCTATTTACTCTTCATAATTTTAAACTTGTGGTCTTTGCCATTAAGAAGATGATGATGAACAGATCATATCTGTTTTTTTTTTTTTTTTTTATGTTGATTTTCAAAAAAAAAAAATTGAAATAATAATAATCAACAGCACATCTTCATCAACATCATCACTATCAACACATCATCATCGGCAAACATCTTCATCGGCGAACATCTTCATCAACAACAACATCATCACCATCAACACATCATCATCGACGAACATCTTCATCAACAGCAACATCATCACCATCAACACATCATCATTGCTATCAACATCTTCCTCCTTCGCCATCACCATCATCGTTTTCTTCTCTTCCTCCTCATCTTCCTTTCTTCTTCCTTCTCTCTTTCTCTCTGTGTTTGGTTCAACCTTTGAGAGAGAAAACGAGAAGTGGAAGGGAAAGAAGAAGAAAAAAAAAATCAAAATCAAAACGACGTCGTTTCCAAAAATCGAGCTATTCGGGAAAAAATGTTTCGAGTTACAAAACATTTTCCATAATTTTACGATGGAGTACAACCATGTTTGTGTTAAACAAAAATTCACTTCCACTGGAATGTAATTCCTCCATCTATTTTCCTAATCAGATTTTATCTTCGTCAAAAATATTTGGAGACTCCACACACACACACAAAAAAAAAATAATAAATAAATACAATTCAATTTATATGACTAAAAATATTTGTAAAATTATGAGGAGTAATTCTTTTATGTGTAAAAATATATAACAAGAGTTCTAGTAATTTTTTTCAAAAAAATAATAATTCATATTATGTGCATGCTATGTAATTGTGTAGATTTCTTAATAATTTATTTAAAATTGTTAACATTATTTTAGTTTCGTTTAGCTGGAGTACATGTGAGAAAAAAAAATTAAAAAAATCACAAATTAATTTGATCCAAAAACTAATAATAATTTGTTATTTATTATAGACTCTGGAATATTTTATTAGTATCTTATTTATATTTATAAATTTTTAATTCCCTTATCTTACAAGTGTGCTTTTATATAATGATAAAACTTTGTTGATAAAATAATGGCATTTTTTTTTTTTAAATTTTTTTACATTTTTGAACATTTATGATCATATTATAAATGATGACAAGTTTTACAAACTTGTGATTCCAAATCAAATCGAAAAATGCTATAAGCCATAATTTTTTTACCAAATAAATGACTAAATGCTTCATATAGGTGTGATGTCATTTATTTGATAAAAAATTTGGTATCCCTAATATTTTCATGATTCAATTTAGTTTGATTATAAAATTTTATGATTCAATTTAATTTCAAACTTTATGAAACCAAAGATAATGATTTAATTTTAATGTATTTGAAAACCAAACCCAAAAAAAGTGAACCACACCCTCATAAAAAGGGTGAAGTAATAGTAGAAAACAGAATTTCTTCAGAGTCTCCTCTATTGCACTCATAGATTAGAATGCTTGACCCACCAAAACACAAAGAAGGATGAAACATCACCAAATGAAGCTAATCATACACCAATTCAAAAAAAGTAAATTTCAGGTGAAAAATTACTACATTGTTTCCAAGACAAAAGTTGATGCCTTTGGATTTCCCACTTGCAGGTGAAAAAATACGCCTGCGTTTGGTTGTATCTTGTAAATATAATTTGAGAGTATAAATTGTATTTTGAGTTTGTGGATTGTAGAATTATAATTTGAGTGTAGAAAATTTGTTTGGTTATGATTTTTAAATAGAGTGTTGAATTGTGTTTTGAAAATGTATTTTGAATTAAGTTTTGAAAGTTTGATGTGACATGTGAAAGGTGAAAATTTATTTGGTGGTGTGTTTTGAAAATAGTTTTCAAAACTTAATTCAACCAATAATTTATCATCAAACACACAACTCATATATCGATATCCATATTTTTTATCAACAATAATAACCAAGCTATTTTTAAAATAATGAAATTAAAAATTGATTTTTTTTGTCAATTATTTTTTTTTGTAATTTGTTTGAATAATTGTTTTTTCGAAATAATTTTTTCATTTTAAAATAAACCTATGTCAATTATTTGCTGCCAATTAATTTTTCTATCAATTCATTTGTAAAATACGTTTTTAATTTTTTTCTAACATTTTGTTAAAGTCAACAACTTTTGAAAATACATATTAATAAAGAAGGAATAAATACACTAAATTTAATATTTTAAAATACAAATCATAACGTAAATCTTACAAAACATTCTCAATTTTTTTTTTCCATTTATTACATGTTATAAATTTCGTCCAGATGTGGTAACAGAAATGCAATGCATTATTGTACCCGTTGAGCTCATATAATTGTGGGGATTGACATACAAAATGACTATTATGCCCCTCTTGACTTAAATGGAAAGTGTTTACATAGAACAGAATATAAAGGATAAGATGGTAATTTCACTTACTTACTACCTACCCCCTATTGTTTCATAGCTGTGTGTTCAACACTGAGGTAAAGAAAGGGAGAGACTGCAGCTGTGTACTCAGTACATGGATGTGATATCATTAAAAAACTAATAATATTAAAAACAAATAATATTTAACAAATAAAAAGTAAATAAAAAAAATACAACATGAACCTTTTGAACCTCACCCTTTCTATTAAATCTGAATCTCATTCCGTTTACCACACCAACTTCACCATCTCAGAAACACCTTCTCCAGTTACATCAGAAAACAAAAATTAGAGAAATAGAGCATATCCACCATCTCATTAGGTCCTCCTTCTCCACTTCCATAATTTACAGGTTAGTTTTGATGCTAGTTCATCTCCATATTAGCTTCAGACATTAGCTTCAGAGGGAATGAGGGAGGGGAAGAGGAGGACAATCGGGCGATCATCCCACCGGTCTACCGGTCGGTCATCCCGGCCCAGTCACCATTTCACCTCCGTATCTGTTGGCTTTGTTTCATATCTGTTCCATTTTCATCTGTTATATTTTCTGATTTCTGTTCTAATTTTGTCACACTATCATTTATTTTTCTGATTATCAGTTTCTAAGTTATAACAAACTGTATGAAACAAACCCAATATAAATGAGAAATATCATTCCCTATGATTTTTTTTGGTATAAAAATCTGTTTCTATGACATCTGCCTAATTAAATTTTGTCATCAAATTTTTTTATATTTATTTTTTACATAAAAATAAGTTTTTATGCACAAAAATGTACTAATGTTTGATATATTTTTCTTACCTCTCATATGTTTTAATATACAATTTTCTTTCACTTTTGCAGTCATCATGCCAAGAACAATCATGCCAAGAACAAAACGAACCAGGCCCGAACTTGGTGAATCCTCAAACCCTGTACCACCACCATAGCAACAACATGATGGCTATCCAACTAATGATTTTGCAACATATCATCATGAACAAGCCTATGAACATTTCATTACTCGGCCAATTATTACGGGGAGAAACGTAAAACTACCTTCTAAATATAATTCACTCTTACTTAGCAAATTAGATACAATGGGATGGTTACCATTAAATAATTTACCAAATAAGATATATCCCCGTCTTCTACGATTATTTTATGTTCACTTGACACCGGGTGACCAACAAAATGAACCGTTCAGTCTTACCTCTTATGTTAAGGGGAAAAGAATCACACTCTCTCTCCGTCGTTTTGCACAAATTATTGGAGTCGAAACAGGAGATTTACAATGTTATTTTCAAAATGAGGCCGCATTAGAAAAAATTGTTGATGATGTCACTCAGATTTATACCACAATTTGTGACAACCGCGAAGAAAAAAATAAAAATAAAAATATAGTAAAAGAAAAGTATATGGAACCTTAAATCTCCATAGCAAAATAGGAGACGGCAATATCGTGGCAGCGGTGCCCAAAGGAGTGCTCACACCCTTCATTTCATTGGCGTCTAATAAATGCGAGAACCCTTCGTCAGCACTATTTCCCAGCTCACTTGTACCTAACAGATATTCCACAACAATTAGGTGCTTAAGCTTATAAAAGCATATAAACACATACATATATACCCACCAAGGTAAAAAAAAAAACGTTAAAACAATTAATTCAAATAATTTCAAAAAACTAGACTTTTGGTACCAATATCAAATGTACCACAACAATTAGGTGCTTATATCAAATTGGGTTTTACATATTTTTTACCCAAATCAAGGAGGCTCAAATGCTTGCCCAAATCTTTCAAGACCATTTTGTAAACTACAAAACTTACAACTTTGCCATTACTTTGCACAAACAAATATATACCCACCAAAAAAAAAAAAAAATGGTAACCCACAAAAAATGGATATAAAAAATGCAAAAAAAAGTAGAATTGTTGGTACCAAGATCAGAGACAACAGGTCTGCTTCCAGACTTGCGGAGATGAGGACTGTTGACAGGGACTGTCACGAGACCTCCTCCAAACATAGAAGAATGTATGTACGTATGCTTAGAACCTGCAAGCAATTGAAGTCAAAAGTGAGAAATTTGAATTCAAAAAACACAGTAACTGTTAACGAATCGAGTGGATTAGGAAAAGAGATCAGAAACTTAACAGATCAATTTGGATCGAATTGAATTGCGATTTGGTGAGAAGAATGGTGATTAGATTCCGTCAATACGAACCTCCCTCTTCGTTACGTTTGCCGGATCTCTCACCGGATCTCGTGCAATTTAGAGAGAGAGAGAGAGAGAGAGAGAGAGAGTATTACGGGAGGAGACGTGAATGTTACAGGACCGATGTAGAAAAGGAAATGATGTACCATCCGATCCGACCATGTGGGCCGACTCTCTAATCCGACTTATGTGGAGTCCATAAGCCCTGTTTGGTAGAGCTGTGGGAAAATGCTTATAGCTTATGCCTAAACAGCTTATAGCTTATAACTTTCAGCTTAAGCTGATTTCCAGCTTATTCTTAAAGCATCTCCTACCCCACTCAAAGAATAAGCTGTTTTCTGACTTCCACAAAGTTATAAGCTATAAGCTATAAGCTAAACCAAACACATCAAAATAGCTTAAATTAAGCTGAAAGCTGAAATAAGCTGAAATTAAGCTGTACCAAACAGGGCCATACATGGCACCACGTCAATCTATTTTTGAAGAATTACAACATTTGGGACAGAAAAAAAAGATAATGTTAAGAACATTAATTTTTTTATTAAAAAAAAATTCAAAAAAATATAAAGTATAAATAAACGGTTCTGCTGGGTAGCTCGAAACTTAGCTACTCCGAATGGCTCGAATATGAAAAATGACGTTGTTTTCATTTTTTTTTTTTTCATCTTCCGTCATTCCTCTCTTTTCTCTCAACATTTGAGAACTCACTCTAACAAACAGAACCAAAACCTTCTTCATCTTCTTCCTCTATTTTCTCTTTCTAAAAATTACCAAACTCACCACAAAATTGAAGCAAGATGATGAATAGATCTGATTTAGGAAAAAAAAAATTATGTTGAACAAATTTATGTTAAACAGATCTGATCTGTTTATGTGAGATGAAGTTAAAATAAAAATTATGAATTAAAATTATGAAACAGATCTAATCTGTTTATGTGATCTGATCTAACCTGTTTACTCTTCATAATTTTAAACTTGTGGTCTCTGTCCATTAAGAAGATGATGATGAACAGATCAGATCTATTTTTTTTTTTTTTATGTTGATTTTCAAAAAAAAAAAATTGAAATAATAATAATCAACAGCAACATCTTCATCAACAATATCACCACCATCAACACATCATCATCGACGAACATCTTCATCAACAGCAACATCATCACCATCAACACATCATCATTGCCATCAACATCTTTCTCCTTCGCCATCACCATCATCGTTTTCTTCTCTTCCTCCTCATCTTCCTCTCTTCTTCCTTCTCTCTTTCTCTCTGTGTTTGGTTCAACCTTTGAGAGAGAAAACGAGAAGTGGAAGGGAAAGAAGAAGAAAAAAAAAATCAAAATCAAAACGACGTCGTTTCCAAAAATCGAGCTATTCGGGAAAAAATGTTTCGAGTTACAAAACATTTTCCATAATTTTACGATGGAGTACAACCATGTTTGTGTTAAACAAAAATTCACTTCCACTGGAATGTAATTCCTCCATCTATTTTCCTAATCAGATTTTATCTTCGTCAAAAATATTTGGAGACTCCACACACACACACAAAAAAAAAATAATAAATAAATACAATTCAATTTATATGACTAAAAATATTTGTAAAATTATGAGGAGTAATTCTTTTATGTGTAAAAATATATAACAAGAGTTCTAGTAATTTTTTTCAAAAAAATAATAATTCATATTATGTGCATGCTATGTAATTGTGTAGATTTCTTAATAATTTATTTAAAATTGTTAACATTATTTTAGTTTCGTTTAGCTGGAGTACATGTGAGAAAAAAAAATTAAAAAAATCACAAATTAATTTGATCCAAAAACTAATAATAATTTGTTATTTATTATAGACTCTGGAATATTTTATTAGTATCTTATTTATATTTATAAATTTTTAATTCCCTTATCTTACAAGTGTGCTTTTATATAATGATAAAACTTTGTTGTTAAAATAATGGCATATTTTTTTTTTTAAATTTTTTTTTACATTTTTGAACATTTATGATCATATTATAAATGATGACAAGTTTTACAAACTTGTGATTCCAAATCAAATCGAAAAATGCTATAAGTCATAATTTTTTTATCAAATAAATGACTAAATGTTTCATATATGTGTGACGTCATTTATTTGATAAAAAATTTGGTATCCCTAATATTTTCATGATTCAATTTAGTTTGATTATAAAATTTTATGATTCAATTTAATTTCAAGCTTTATGAAACCAAAGATAATGATTTAATTTTAATGTATTTGAAAACCAAACCCAAAAAAAGTGAACCACACCCTAATAAAAAGGGTGAAGTAATAGTAGAAAACAGAATTTCTTCAGTCTCCTCTATTGCACTCATAGATTAGAATGCTTGACCCACCAAAACACAAAGAAGGATGAAACATCACCAAATGAAGCTAATCATACACCAATTCAAAAAAAAGTAAATTTCAGGTGAAAAATTACTACATAGTTTCCAAGACAAAAGTTGATGCCTTTGGATTTCCCACTTGCCGGTGAAAAAATACGCCCGCGTTTGGTTGTGTCATAAATATAATTTGAGAGTATAAATTATATTTTGAATTTGTGGGTTGTAGAATTATGATTTGAGTGTAGAAAATTTGTTTGGTTAGACCATCTCCAACGTTGAACCAAACCCAGCATCAGATTTAAATTTTGATGAAAAACCCACTTTTTCACGCTCCAACGGTTGCACCAAAGTCATACCAAAATGAGAATTCAGCAAACAAGACATCAAACTGAGATCAAGACACAGATTTTACCAAATCACTGTTACTGACCGTTGAAAATGCTACACCGGTCGACCAACCGGTTGCCCGGCCGGTTGACCAACCGGTCAACCAGTAAAAGATTCAAACAGTCATGAAAAAATAGTTCAAACCGTTAAAAAAAAAAAAAAAAATTTTTTTGCCCCTAACCGGTCAACCGCCGGTTACCGGCCGGTCGGACCACCCCGTTGACCCGAAAAAAGTTCAGGAAAGTTCAAAAAAAGGTCAGACAATTCGCTAAAAAAAAAAAAAAAAAAAAAATTTTTGGCCTAACGGCAACCGGCCCGCTCAACCGGCCGGTCGACCACCCGGTTGTCCCGGGATAGATTTGGTGAAGGTGAACCGTTGGAACCTGAAGTATCAAATTCAGGAAATGACCATTTTTGAACTCAGAATTGGTGAAATTTTTGATTCACGGTTGGAGATGCTCTTATGATTTTTAAATAGAGTGTTGAATTGTGTTTTGAAGATATATTTTGAATTAAGTTTTGAAAGTTTGATGTGATATGTGAAAGGTGAAAATTTGTTTGGTGATGTGTTTTGAAAATAGTTTTCAAAACTTAATTCAACCAACAATTATGATCAAACACACAACTCATATATCGATATCCATATTTTTTATCAACAATAACAACCAAACTATTTTTAAAATAATGAAATTAAAAATTGATTTTTTTTGTCAATTATTTTTTTTTTTTTGTAATTTGTTTGAATAATTGTTTTTTCGAAATAATTTTTTCATTTTAAAATAAACCTATGTCAATTATTTGCTGCCAATTAATTTTTCTATTAATTCATTTGTAAAATACGCTTTAAATTTTTTTCTAGCATTTTGTTAAAGTCAACAACTTTTGAAAATACATATTAATAAAGAAGGAATAAATACACTAAATTTAATATTTTAAAATACAAATCATAACGTAAATCTTACAAAACATTATCAATTTTTTTTCCATTTATTAATAGTACACCTTGCTGGGTCAGTAGGTCTAGATCTACAGTGTCGGGGCATCAACAATCTTCTGCCTAGATGGTGATTTCTCTCTTTCTCTCTCTCTCTCTCTCTTTCTCTATATAT